GCGGTGGCCCCAGCGTGCAGCCCGCGACCGTCAGGGCCGGTTGGTCGGCGACCTGCCCAGTCGACCTCTCGTCGGGCCTAGTGAGCCCCGAGGTAGACAGGAGCAGGCGGTACCCCAAAGATATCTCTACCCAAGCTTAGAGCTGGGCCTTGAGCCAATCCGCCCTGAGGACACTAGAACTGGACGCTCGGGACGGTCGCTACACGGTGATGGGGATTCTTAAGTGCCGCGCCTGGACTGCAGGGAGCAGCAAATTCGATAAGTCACAGGTGCTTATAAAGATTAAACTCAGGCGCACAGGCCAGAAATTGTGGGAAAGACGTGCTTACGTGCGCAGCAGGGAAGAGTATGAAAAAAAGCAGACGCAAGGAACGTCTCATTACAGGTCCCATGATGCAATGCGATGGCCCGTGCGGCTCCGGTACTAAGGAGCCTGAGTCTCAGAGGTGGCTCCCGCGAGGCACTGTGGGGTTTGTAGTCGACCGATTCACGTAGAGAGCCGGAATTTAAACGCGGGCCTTGCCCTGCCTTTTAAAAACCAAACACCCGATTTCAAGTCAAGGAAAGACACTCTTGACTTCACACTTTTAGTCTTTTTTACTACGGTTTTGCAAGTTCTGTGAAAGCATACAGGAGTCACAACTTATTACCTTCATTGAGCAAATATCTACCGAATATCTAAAGTTTCTCCAAGTGCCAGGGACCAATAGTCATCAGCATTCCAAGATCTCACGTTCATTTAGAATTTAAATTTCTACTCCATTTATTCTATTTTATTCTGGAGTTTTTAGTTTTTAGAAAATCAGTACATCTTAGGCACAGAGCTAAAAGCCGGAGGAGTGGTGAATGAACTACCGTAAGGTAATCCGAATGTTGTATTTTTCATTTTAGGACACACCCTTCGAGCGGGTTTTTATTTACATCCTAAATCAGCTATCATAAAAAATATTTCTGTCTTTAGCGCAGGCCAACAATGTAATAGTTTTTAGCTTCTAAAAGAGATTCTAGGATTTATGTCTTTTAAGGAAAAGTTTCTCCCAATGGTTCTTTAAAAGTTGGATTTTGAAATTTAAATGGAAAAGAGCTAACTGGATGTTTAACAGAATAAAATGTTGAATTATAAAGATCAGCCTTGCAAAGGATGGTTTAAGTTGCTTCAGAACAGTCTGTTCATTGTTGAATGCTTTCCCGAAGTATCTTGGTCATTTAGCTCAGCTTTCTATTATTCTAGCAAGTAATTAAAAATAGAGCTTAATAAAATAAAATTTGAGAAGATAAGTTGAGTACCCAATACTAAAATATGGCATGCTTCACAGCTACTAATTTTCTATTTTAATCAGATCCATTAAATCCAATAGTGCTTATTACAGAGCTATATTATATTAGATGTTACCATGTTATTCTTGCGGGCTTTTAATTTTCCCAGGACCAAAACTACTGATCTACTTTCTAACCCAGTGGACCCTTGCTAAGTGTAGACCAGGACACTCCCTCTACTTGCCTGGTATACTGGTTGACAACTGAAGTTTATCGAAAATGGTCATTTTAGTTACCGTAAAAATTACTTTTTGGACCGGGGATTTAGCTCAGTAGTTCCGCCCCCTGCCTTACCAAGCTCAAGGACCAGAGTTCAATTCCCGATACTGCCCCCCCCAACACCAAATTATTTATTATGCTAGTAGTGCATGATTTTCTAGGCTCCTTGATTCCCTGTCTTTTTACTCATCATTTGCGATTTTTATTTGCTGTATAGTTGGGCTGTTATATAGGTAAACACAAATTTAGATAAGTGTAACATATTTGCCAAGTAGCCAGGGAATCCTTTCCCTTTGGGGAAAAGGAGCAAGAAAGGAATTCCAGTCTTTGGTAAGATTCTTTCTGGAAAAAAAGAACACTGTTCAGCCTTTAGATTCAGAAACAAAACATTTAAAAGCTTGATATGGTGATGAGGTGGAAAATTTAAACTCAGAGAAGGACCTCCAAAGTGTTAAAGGATTACTGATTTATGAATTAAAGTTGTGTACTTAGGGCGTCCTAACACAGTCACCAGCAGAATGGCGCTGGAAGCTGCAGTGTGTGGCCGGTAATTGGTTTAAATAGCTCCCCAGGTGACTCATGCTCCTGAAATGCTTGAGACCCATTGGCTTACAGGAGTTGTGTAAATTTAAACTAGGGACTGGGAAGCAGGTTTGTGCCCCCCCCACCCCAGCTTCACAGTCAAGCATTATAAGAGTTTAAGGCCAAATCTACAGTATAATTTATGATAGAAATGAATGTGCTTAAAAGTTAGATGTCTAACGTCAGATTTCATATAACTTAATTACCCAGAAAGGGCTCTTGTAAAAGGTTACCTAGTCTGTTTACTACCTGGGTAAGAGTCCAGTTTTTCAAACTTGAGCTGCTAAAAGTATATTTTTTTTAAAAGTCTTAAATGTTCAAATGAACACCTACAGGTTGTGGTTTTATTCTAAACATGTTTTCGGTGTAATACAGATAACAAAATTTGCCGTTTTAAACATTAGTGATTGTACAATTCAATGACACTGGTAACATCCCAACGTCGTGTAACCTCGGGTACGTTTCTGAAACCAGCAAACTTCATCTTTCGTAATAGGCGCGTGCTAAGTGCTCGGACGTCCCCACCTCTGCGTCTTGGAGGGCACGGTGGCCCGGGCAGCCAGGGCGGTGGTTGAGCTCTGGGCTCCCGAGCCAAGCTGGACGCTGCAGGGACTCGCTGGGCCGGCGAGGGGAGCTGCAGGGTAACTTTTCCAGGGAGAGCGGCTGGTTGTCCGCTAGAAGCCACCCAGCCTTTTGTTTGTTTTCCTGCCGGAGGCCGGAGTGTGACCGGCTTCCTGCCGCTC